AAAAATGGAATTTTTATTCAAAATAGAATAAAAATAAAAAAAAATATCTTCAAATTTATTCCAATCTACAATAATTTTGTTTTCTTGGGTCGCTTGAAATCCTTGAAATAAGAGCATTTAAAACACTGATGTCCGAAATTGAGGCAAGTTTCTTCGGGTGCATCGTCATTCTTCCCAAGTTGAACACTGAGCAACTTGTCGGTGGTAAAATAGATGACATGTTCAATGAGAGCATTGAGCAATATTCAGAGCCTCATAGGACTCAGAGGTCGATAAAAATTTGATAAGTTTTGACTAATGCGCATATTCCTAATTTGCCGAGTTCGCCGAGTATAGCATAGCGGAAAATTTAGGTTATCACGAATGTATTTTATGGAGTAGGATATATATATATGTTTATTGTCACTTTTAAGTAGACTTTATTATTTATACATATATAAATAAAAATTATAATTTAAATGAAAAATAATTTTGTAAAAATCCAGTGGGCCCCCCCCCCCCCCCCCCTAATTTCACTGAGGGGTGGTAATGGACTGCCAAGCACCCCCCCCATCCCCAACCCCCGAAACCGCCCTCGAATTTTTAAACGTCAAACAAATGAATGAATATAAAACAAAAGTTGTTCTGTATTCAATGCAAATTTCTTATTCAATTCTGCCAAAGTTGAAATGTCATGAAAAACTGATTCCAGCTAATAGCATATAATTCAAATTTAATTCAGATTTGAGATTTTTAACATACATATGTCAAAAGTTGAACAAAATAGACGTCACAAAAATCATTTTTCGACCTATAACAATGGTCGGCCCATGCTTTTAACTGCAGTGCAGCTAAGCATATTTTTTTTTTCAATCGCAAATTAAAATTTAAACATACAGGGAGTCGTAAGACCCATAAAACTGTGGAATATGATTTGACTACTTGCAGCAATCTTGTGTGTATCTTTGTGAGCCGAACAAAAGGGATAATACTCGAAAGAGGGAAATAAGGTGAATTGGCTAGGGAAACACTCTTTTCTACCGGCCATACACTGTTTATTTGTAAATGATTCACTGAAAATTATGTTTAAATTGGTTCTTTTAATGCACGTTAAGTTCCATGAGGTTTTTGTTTATATTTACGCAAAAGCCTTGAAAATTTTTGGTTTGGTAAGTAGACGGAGGGTCCAACGGAGGTACAGTTTGTCAGAGACGACCTTACAACAGGGTAATTTTAGGGGTATGGTTCACAATCTTATGTTGTTATAGAGCAACAAGTTTTACCTGCAGTAACTTGAAAATCAAGTAACCAAGTGAAATGGTTTCTTACACTACACTTTTGCTCTGTTTCATTTGATTTATTAAAATCAAAACTTGAGTCTAACAGTCGTCTTCCTATTACATAGTTTGATGATTCTCATTGTAGAGTTAAATCTATAACAAAACAAATAAAAACGTTAAAATATCGTTTTATATAACGTAAGCAAAACTATAATTTAAAGCTGGAAAATATTCGTGTTTTATCTAAATATATTTAAATTGAATTTTTATGATTTATCAATTACAAAATAGCTTTGAAAAAAAGGAATTGTAAACCGAAGGAAGACAGCTCTTATACAGGGTGTCCCACGAAACATGACAATAGCAAGACGACTTGGAAGTCGTCTTTGGTATTTGAATTTATTTGTGACATTTAGTCTTCTATCTACTTTAACATGTATGATTCTTGAAACAATTATCACATAATTCTCCTAGCCCTGGCATTTCCAAAAAGTGGTCTGCGTTTTTTGTGCTTTCAATATTACCGGAGATATAAAGAGTTTGGTTCAGATTTCAATTTTGTTAAATAAAAGCAAAATTGTCGAAATCTGAACGAAATTCTTCATATCTCGGGCAATATTGAAAGCACAAAAAAGGCAGACCACATTTTGGAAATGGCAGGACAAGGGAAATTTTGTGATTATTATCTCTAGAAATTTACTTCTAAAATTAGGTTGAAAAATAAACGCAGCAAATTATATAAAAAATCAAGACGACATTCAAGTCGTCCTGCATAAAGGTCTGACGAGTCCGACACTGCGACTCCTTTGAGTTTTGAGTTCTGACCAACAAATTAGGTGGCAAAACTACCTTACCATGGCCTGCTTACTAAGGGAAAATAACATAAAAACTTGCATCTTTGATACATCCATTCTAATCAGTAATTATGGACATTGCCATTAAATTGAATTATTTCTATTAAAATAAAAACTTATAGAAAGACGACTTTCATGCTCTGCCTGTGAGACGTTAAAAAGTGACGTCATATCAATAAGACGAATTGGACATAATGATCGATTGGACTAACGTTCAAAAGGACTATAGTCATTTTGAACAAATATTTGTGCAATTAAACTATTTTTTTTTTTTTAAATTTCCTTTCAAGAAGTTTTTAAGTATATACAGGGTGTCCCAAAAAACATGGGAATTCAGTGACGAATTCGATATCGTCTTTTCAAATAATTCTTTGATTTAGTATAGTGATACCTACTGAGAAAGCTGTAATCTGTAAGAGTTTCGTCTGCTATGTTTACATTTTGTTTGTTTATGTTTTGACTGCAACCGGTTGTACTTAGTAAAACAAGAAAATTACAGTATACAAACAGAGTAAACTTGTCCGTATTCACTGTTCATCTTGCGGAGACATTATAGACACATCTTTGCAGTCTTTTACCCTTTTCATAAAATAAACTCTAGCAGACATAATAATATTATGGCTTTTGAAATTAGGTATTACAATGTTAATTCATAACAAAGACGATATCGAATTCTTCACTGAATTCCCTAGTTTTTTGGGACACCCTGTATTTTAGACTTAAATCACGTACACGTGATGTAATTTTATTATTTGAGGGTAGATTAAGATTATTTCTTGGCTGAGCGCTGTGGCTAGGATATTGCTAGGGGCCGAACGCTGCGGCTAGATAAAGGCTAGGGTGCCAAGCGCCGCGGCTAGGACTGGCTAGTGGCTACCCCGTAAGAAAGAAACGTCACTGCTGCAAATCGCTTATGTTAAATGACATATCATTTGACATCACTTTTTTTCAAGAAGTTTTTAAATAATTTTTTTATCATTTTGTGTTTTTTTTGTTTTTGTTCAAGATCGAATTCCCCCCCCCCCCCGCAATTAAAAACCCCTTTTTTGAAAAAATTTTAAAGTGTTTTTTTTTATTCGATGAGAAACCACAAATAAAAATAATCAGATTTCCAAAATGGGAAACATGGATGTTTAATGCAATACTTGATCAGACAAAGCTTTGAAGGATATTGTTGTGAATATATTTTATACCCCCCCCCCCCGCAATTAAAAACCCCTTTTTTGAAAAAATTTTAAAGTGTTTTTTTTTATTCGATGAGAAACCACAAATAAAAATAATCAGTTTCCAAAATGGGAAACATGGATGTTTAATGCAATACTTGATCAGACAAAGCTTTGAAGGATATTGTTGTGAATATATTTTATTTCTTTTCTTAATCTTTTAGTTTTGGTGAGTGCAATGCAATGCAATGCAATGCAATGTAGAATGTAGATTGCCTGAGGAAGGGTAATGCAAGCAGATGTAATATTAAAAGAGCGCCCCCCCCCCTTCATACGCCCCTGGTTCAATTGCACTAATAATTACAGAAAAAAATAGTTCGTTTGAACAAATATTTTAAGTATTCCAGATCAATCGCACTAATGATCATTCGTACTAAATATTCCTGGCGGGAAAATAAAATTTAGTCCAATAGAACACAGTCATAGAGAATAGAATATATATTAGAGGGGAATTTAGAGAATCTCTCGGTATGAATTTGTTCAGTCCCTTTCAGCCTGAAAGGGAGTTCAAAGTGTACATATCATGTAAATGTAAATAATAAATAAGTTTTTGATGATACAATTACATAAACATGTTGTATTAAAGAGTCATACTTAAACTTTTTGTTTGTCTAAATTTCACTAAGTCCTAAACTTGTGCATAACTATTGCAGCTTTATATGAAGATTAACAAATTTTATACAATCTTACGGTACCAGTACATGACGTCGGACTTACAAACGTCGGACTGAGACAAAAATCGGAGTATTAAAAACGTCGGACGGATACATAAATAAAGAAAAACGTCATACTTTGGTTGAGACCATTTCTTTAAGAAATAAACTAAAAGTCACTCACTAAATGTGATAAAAATCAGAGATAACTGCATGAAGTACTCTCAACCCTGAAGAGAGCACATCATTTAAACAACAAACCAAAAAGGAGTTGAGCTCGATTGTCACACAATGCCTATATCTTTGCAACCCGATGTCGTAGACCTTAGATATTTCAAGAAATTGTGAAATTTAGATAAAAAATAGATCTCTCTTATTTAAAGTTCACTTTTAATTCAAATTGTGTGTGTAGTTTAAAAAACTTCTTATCATGTCCCAAGAATCATGACAGTGGCTACAATGGCAAGACGAATTGAGGGTCGTCTTTGATCCATGAAATACTTTGCGGCATTTATTCGTAAACTATAATTTTGGAAGTAAAATTATTGGGTTAATAATCATTAGTGCCTCCAAATCTTGGCATTTCCAAAATGTGGTCCGACTTTTTTGTACTTTCGATATTCCCGGAGATGTGAAGAAATTCGTTCGAAGATTTGGATTTTAATTGATAAATGTAAAATAAGAAATGTTCAAGAACGCGGGCAGAAATCGACCATTGTGTTAGTGTACCCTACCCGATGCTACAACTTTTGGTAATTTAACAGCAATTTCTTTTGATTACTACTACTGAAAAGATAAACCAGAGGCGTNCCCCCCCCCCATCATCCCATGTGTTCTAAAGAAACTTTTTTTATTCTTTCTATTTTATTGATTTTGATTGACGATTAGAAATTTGTCCAATTATTAGAATCTAGAAAATATTGATTCTCAAGAACATAGAAACAGGTTGACAATAATTAGGGGACAGTTTTTGTTATTGTCAACACCACCATCAGTCAATCTTCATGAAAATAAATATTTTTATAATTTTATTACTAATAATGAATAATCGCTAGTATTAAATTAATTAATTAACGTGACAAGAATGCATTCTCCTTTACAATATCCCTCTTCTCAACTCCTACAGCACGAGTACAGAGTACACGTAGCCTTGCATCAATATTTTTGTAGTTCTTAAACACATTTTCAAATTTTCTTTGTGTATTGTCTGGGTTTGGTTTGTGGGTTCACGAGGACTTCAACTTTTAGTAGAATCAAGTCCCATCAAGGACCAATACTGATAAGGGTCCAGGTCTGGACCTGGACTGGAGCCTGGACAGGAAGGACTGGGGGTGGGGCCCAGGGAAGGACTAGGTGTGGCGGAAAATCCACTAAACGGGGACACAACAGAGAGCTGGGATACGTTGTCCCTCGAGTTTGCTGCCAACTGGGACAAGGTCTCGGAAAAGAACTTAAAATCTGAATCCCATTGGTTTTGAACAAAAGGATTCTGCTGTCCCACTGAGGACGGAAGATGTCCCAACAGTCCTGTAGTTTCTAGCCCCAGCAATCCTGATCCTGGCGCCGTGTCCCACTGCTAGTTAACGCGCTGACGCTTTGCGTTGGGCTCGGTGATCATGCTGGCAAACATATACTTGATCTGCGGCATGTAGGTCATTATATCCTTTACTAGAACAAGAGGCACAGGGTCGTACACCTGACATTTCCCCTCCTGTCTCAAGATCTCTTGATGGCCTCTGAAAAAAAAATACTAATTATTGAAAAGTATATGATGCTGGATAAAGAAAAAGTATGTGTCGAAACTTCAGTTTTAATTTGTGGTTTACCAGAGTAAGAAACCCATCACATGACAATATTTAGGCCGGTTCCAAACTTGCAAAGTAAAGCACGATTATCTAGAATAGTGCCGCATACATCACGCACTAGTTTGCAATATATAAGGCCTTCATGCAAGATTTCGCAATCCTATTTTTGAGCGGGGGGGGGGGGGTCAAATAAATGTCACAGATTTTTAGAACAATAAATTTGGTATCTGAAAAAAAGCCTAAAATTTGTGTCGCATTTAAGTATACCAAATTTACAAAGTTACAGAAAGATGGATTTTAGATTAAATACTGGTGATAATGAGGTACACAAACCAGTCGTTATAAGAAATATGGCACTGAAAAACGGAATGTTAAAAAGTAGTTAAAAATAAGCTGGTTTGCTAAATTTTATCGATTGGCTTTCTATATCTTAATATACGACAGCCGAAGGCCCCCTCTTAAAGCTGTGTTAAAGGGAGTGTTCGCGAAAAATGAAAGGGGCGACTTACGGCTTATGATTGCTATTAATCTTACTTCTATATGTTGCGTCTGTCAGGAGAAAATTGTTAAAAACGACTCATACCGAAGAACGTAGCCTCCATACAAATTCAGTAAGTTGCAACATTCAACTCGGATCGTTGAAAAAATCAATTTTATTCCAAACGCATCATTCGGATATTACCAATATTCATCGATAATTTTTCGACGCATTCTTATATAGTTGATAATTCATAATAATTTTTTTATTTTATATAATCTGATAAAACTCACGTATTTCCTTTGTAGAGGACGACTTTCAAGATCTCCTGGAGCATGTCACGACACTTCTCCAAGGGTAGGTCAGGGAAGAAGTTCTTCACGAAGTCAGGTAGGGTCATCATGAGATCATGGAACACGTAGGGACGAACATTGATGCAGGGAACAATCTTCTGATCAATCAGCGCCTTCTGAAGCTTGTACGGAGGTTGATTTGAGCGTTCCATCGGAAACTCCTTGATTTGAGTGAGTTTACCTGGAAAGGTTTTGTTTCCTTTGGCCTGAGATTGGGCTTGTTGCTGTTGTCTAGCAAGAGTTGCCATATCTACTGAACCCCGTAGGCCACCCTGTGGAAAGTTTAACTGCTGTTGTGTTCTGTTTATCTGTCCCTGTTGCTGTTGCTGTGTTGTTGCTTGGTTGTTAATTATACCGGATCTAAGGAACTGTTGCAGCTGTTGGTTTGACATTGTTCCTTGTGAAGCTAGTCCCTGTATTTGGAGCTGCTGTAGCTGCTGTAACTGTGAAGCTGTAAGCTGTCCAACACCGACACCGGGAAGTCTATATGCAGCGTTGAGTGCACTGGCGTTAAGCTGTCCTAGACTTGAGATTCCGTTGGGTTGCATTTGCACTGCTGGAGTTAAAGGTTTAGAAACGGGCTGTCCAGGTGGTTTCTGGGTCCAGTTTCCTCCACTTACTCCACTACGAGATGAAACAGGTTCTATACTTCCCTTGGCCGGCCAGTAGTCCTCAAAGGTGGTTCCCTGAGGGAAATGACCTTTGATTTCATCAAGTGCCACCACCTTGCAGATATCGTTGTTGAAGAGTTCTGATCTGATACCCTGAACCTTGCAACAAAACTTTAAGTAAGCCAAGTCCCAGCCCTCTACTTCCTCGCTCTTGAGCTTCAAATGGTCTGTCTCCCCTTCAAAGTAAAAAAGTGGCACATATTTGGTTCCGTTCTTGACAGTGTAAGGAACCACAGACTCTCCGTTGATTCGGAAAAATCCGCAACGGTCACTAGCGTTACTCTTCTTCTGAACTAGTTTCTTGTGACAAAGATCCAAAAATTTATAAAACTCCTTCGCGTCCTTTAATCGAACAACAAGATCTTTGCTAGTAAATGCCTCCTTCCCGAAGGTACAGTCTGTGTGCTTAAGATTTATCTCGTTAAGTAGTTTGCTCTCGTTATCTGTCAGATAATAACTCCTAATACTGGTGCAGGAGTTCACCTCCTGTGGAAGAACCTGGAGATATCTATTCAGGAGTTTTCGTTCTACCATTCTAACGCTTGTGAACTTCTCTGTAGCATACCTAGAATACAATTTGATTAATTTTCGTTGAAACAAGTTCATCAAAATCAAAAATTTTCATAATTTCAAGAATTAAAAGTTTTCTAATTGAATTTAGTTTCGAGAATTTAATATATTTCTATTCTCAAAAGAAATTTTTAAAAGAATAATTTCCATCAGTTGAATACTAGGAATATACCAGAATGTGTGTCGACGATAACTTGCATATAAATATGAAATTTTCTTTTCATACAACATTGCATGAAAGCAAAATGCAAAAATTCAGAATAGACATATATATGATAATGAATGTAACAGCATAATTCTATCTACTATCTACTGGAATGTACAGACTAAAAACACTACCTTAGAATAATGCCAAAAAGCAACATTGTGTAAAACAGGGTTAATAACAAATTAACATAAAACGTCCAGAGCACGTTAATTAGTTAATTTTCACTAGAGGGTCAGCTCTTACCATTGGTATTCATGCCGCGCTAGCAACACGGTGAGACCCTCAAACACCCCCGTTTTTATAACTTTTTGACAAATATTGTCTGTTCATAATATTTGGGGAAGATTTAGAGGATGCACAAGACAATTAATAACTAACCTCTCACTAATTGTGAAAAAGTACGTGTTCACTGTACAATAGACGAAGCACGAATGAGGTTTCCAGAGTTGAATCGGCCCGGCAGACGAAAATTTTGGAACCAACTGAAACATAGGAACGGTCCCTGGCTTCGTTAGAGATTAGGATTCGGGCCCTGGAACTCCTAATAAACAACAATATTTAAAAATAATTCATATCGTATATCTATTTTATTCATATACATTCTAATGGTTCATTTGATTTTTAAAACAAAAGACTTATTCTAAATTATTTGTTATTCCAGGGTTCAAACTAAAGAGTACATTCTCTCCAGCTGGCAGGGGGCCAACCCTCGAGGAAGGGGCGGTGCGGCTCAAGGTCCATTCCAGAATTTAATCCTATATTATAAAATGACACGGTCCCAGTGCTGAATTTTTATGCATAAAGGCAGTGAGGAAGAACGAACTGCCGGACCATTCCAAAATTTTACATTTCCTACTATTCCGACAGAAGAATTAAAACTTTAGGAACCCCCCCCCCTCATGTAGCAAGAAAATATTTACCCCATTAATATGATTTTCATTCCTTAAAAATTAATTCTTAATAATCCCATATATGTATACATACGAGGTGTGTTTGATCAAGAATGCAAATATATTGTAATTTCTTTATTTATTGGATAATTTCCGTGATATAGCCTGTTGGAAAGGTTGGATTGCCGAGCGGAAAACTCATCAGTTTTAAGAACCAAATCAGGGTCCAGTTCAAGAGCGAGGCCAGCTAGGGCGGCCCTGTAAAACTAGTTCAGAGGTGCTCTTTTTCTATTTAAATAGTAATATATTTTACTAAACTACCACCCAACATTTTTTTTACCTTTATTTTTGTAGCCGCTAGAAAATTTTGGAATTCCAAAAACGGTTCTGAACGACAACATTTTGAAAAACTACGTTGTTTGAAAATTTGTCATTTATTAGCGAATTCAAGTGCAAAAAAACGATTTTTCTGCTTCGCACTTACACTTTAAGACCACTACCTCGGCAAGAAAAAAAATGGATTTATATTTTTCTGTTTTCTGTATGGTGTAAAGCCTTTAACATGTGATTATTTACTAACATGTTTCTTCTTATCAAGCACTAACAACTTGCAAACCCCTATCAAAATAAAAAATTTATTTATTTCATATTTTTTACCTAAAAATATAAGGTAGAAACTGCTTTTCAATGTCGAACCAACCAAAACGGCCCTTTTTAGATTCTTCGTCAACATGTTTTTCAGTATTATCTGCTATCTTTGTTGTTCCATTTGTTGCTGTCTCCTTGTTTCCATTGAAGAACTGCTGAATGGTCGGCTGACCGGGGCGCGCCATATTCAACGGTCCTGTGATCTGGTGTGGTAAAAGTGATGCTTGGGCAAGTTTCGCTTTATTAGCGGCTCTTATCTTTTTGGCAAGTTCTGCGATTTCTGCTTCGTCGTGCCTTTCTTCTTTAACTTCTCTTACTGGCATTTGAGCACCTGAAACAAAGGTATGGTTAGCGGATTTGTTCACAACTAGCGGATTTCTTGGAACTTGCGGATTTACTGATTTTGTAGGCCCACATTTTCTTCACCGGGTTAAAGAAAGAGGAAATTTTCATTGAACAGAGTCAATTTTTAGCTTCAATAATTTATCAACGTAATTTTAATTTCCTGGAGTTGGATGGAGGGGGGGAGGGGGGTCGCCCCCCTCTGGAAATTCAAGATTCGTTTAATTGATAAACAGTTTAAATTCCTATGCAAATTATGATTTGTACAGCGACTTAATTGTTCATTTCATAAGATACTTCTGCTTAATCGATCTCAATAAAAATGTTTCATTTTTGAAAGGTAATCCCTAAATGTTTCATCTCGAAATGTAATGATAAATAAGAAACTGTAAATTTACTGCTTTCTGTTAAATTTTTAGGGGGTGCGACTCAAAAAAAATTGGGACCCCCTCCCCCCTGAGATATTACTGTAATACCAACCCTGGTTAAAATAGTTGTGAAATGCATTTTATATCAAAATTTTGTTTGAAAATATATGTCTAGGACCAAAAAACAGCATCGCTTGCTCATATTTTCGGAAAATGGAAACTGCTATTGTAAAAGAGTTTAGACCAGTGATTAACGAATTTCCAGAGGGATCAATTCCTTTTTATTAATGGAACAAGATGAAGCTGAATAACCTTTCGAACTGAAAAAAAGGATTTCTGGAGCTATAAAGGCAACTTAATGTGGAACAAAAAACCCTTAGTGTATAAAATGTTGGGAAAATATTAATTAAAAGGTAAAATTTGAAACATTTAAACTTGACTCAAGAATCAAGAAAAACAATGGGATATATGAAGAATTTAAATGTCGTCTTCTAAAATGAACCTCTCCAGTGTAAAATCCACAAAAAATATACGATATGAAGAAATTAAAAAAAAATTGCGAAGGCCGGAGGGGGGGTGGAGGAGAGAATGTAAACTTAGTCCATTCCTTATGAATCACAATATACAAAATAGGAATTAACGACAGGAATATAAAAAATCCGGGAAAATGCAGAAAAAATATCTGCAGAACTAGTTGAAATATTTTAAGATCAGATTATTAAACAATTGGTAAATTATTATTAGTCCTCGAATATGGGTCTTTTCAGAATGTGGGGTCAATACTAGGAATATACCAGAATGTGTGTCGACGATAACTTGCATATAAATATGAAATTTTCTTTTCATACAACATTGCATGAAAGCAAAATGCAAAAATTCAGAATAGACATATATATGATAATGAATGTAACAGCATAATTCTATCTACTATCTACTGGAATGTACAGACTAAAAACACTACCTTAGAATAATGCCAAAAAGCAACATTGTGTAAAACAGGGTTAATAACAAATTAACATAAAACGTCCAGAGCACGTTAATTAGTTAATTTTCACTAGAGGGTCAGCTCTTACCATTGGTATTCATGCCGCGCTAGCAACACGGTGAGACCCTCAAACACCCCCGTTTTTATAACTTTTTGACAAATATTGTCTGTTCATAATATTTGGGGAAGATTTAGAGGATGCACAAGACAATTAATAACTAACCTCTCACTAATTGTGAAAAAGTACGTGTTCACTGTACAATAGACGAAGCACGAATGAGGTTTCCAGAGTTGAATCGGCCCGGCAGACGAAAATTTTGGAACCAACTGAAACATAGGAACGGTCCCTGGCTTCGTTAGAGATTAGGATTCGGGCCCTGGAACTCCTAATAAACAACAATATTTAAAAATAATTCATATCGTATATCTATTTTATTCATATACATTCTAATGGTTCATTTGATTTTTAAAACAAAAGACTTATTCTAAATTATTTGTTATTCCAGGGTTCAAACTAAAGAGTACATTCTCTCCAGCTGGCAGGGGGCCAACCCTCGAGGAAGGGGCGGTGCGGCTCAAGGTCCATTCCAGAATTTAATCCTATATTATAAAATGACACGGTCCCAGTGCTGAATTTTTATGCATAAAGGCAGTGAGGAAGAACGAACTGCCGGACCATTCCAAAATTTTACATTTCCTACTATTCCGACAGAAGAATTAAAACTTTAGGAACGGCCATTTCCAACTATATAAATGACAGTTTTAACGGCTATAATCTGAAATTTCAGTTTGAGTCCTAGCAGGTCCGGTCCAAAAATTAGAGGACAAGTTGCGTCCTTAGGAAGCATTATACTCTTTTTAAGATATATAATAGCGTCCTTGTAGGAAGCATTAGGTATCTAATACACAAACCATTCTCCTTCTCCGGCGTTACCAAAAACTATAACTTCTTTTGAGGCAAAGAATGAAATTTAAAAACAATGTTTGTGAAGAAATGAGGTTGTCACATGGAGGTGCTATGGAACCGCCTCACCGCGCGTGTAACGTCTCACCGCGGAAATGCCTCAACGGAAACCACTCTAAAGTATATTTTTTTGAGTTGTTTCCACGATTTCTGTGAGAAATACGGAAACCCAGTTTTAGTTTTAAGAGATTTTTCCTCTTTTTTTGAGGCGTTTCCTAAAATATTTGAGCCGTGTCCGCTTTTTATCAGACAAATATTTTTGAGGGATTTCCCAATATTTTGAGGCGGGTTTCTGTATATTTTTAAACTCTATTAGTTGAGGTGTTTCCTATTTTTTTGAGGCGTTTCCGCACAATTTTTGAGGCGTTTCCGTGTAATTCTAAAAACTTTATTTTGTCAAGGTGTAATCTCTTTTTTTTTGAGGCGATTCCGCAAAATTTGGAGGGGTTTCTGTATTTATTAAAACTCTATTTAGTTGAGGTGTTCCTCTTTTTTTGATGCATTTTCGTAAAATTTTTGAGGTGTTTCCGTATTCTTGGAATCTTCATTTTTCAAGAGCTTAGGTCGTCTTTACAATCTTAACCTTTGTGGATAACCCTGTAGGTAAAGAAAACGTGAACTAATCAAATATTTGACACAGAATACAGTGTTTGGCTTTAGATACAGGGTGTCCCACGAAACATGACATTTGCTGAATAGTTTTAAATGTCTTCTTCCATAATTTGTTCAGTTCTTTAATACAAAAGAGATTATCATTAATAAAAAATATAAATGGCAGTTATTTTACAGTAAAATTGATTTGAACGTAAAATATATTTGAGTATAAGATTTTGTTAACAAAGTAAATTGCAAAAAGTCTCTAGTATCTAATAAGATATACGGAAGAAGACATTTAAAACAATTCACTATAATTGTCATGTTTCGTGGGACGCCCTGAATACTCAATTTTGAGAATTAACAGACCTCGATACTTCGCTTGTTCAATATAAATCATTGTAATTCATTTTTACATATCTGATCAAAGGTAATGTGATTATCTATTCCTTTTTGAGCGCTTACTAATAATTTAATAAATCCTTTTTAAATTACCTCCCCCCTATACCCCTTGAATTTTTACACTGATAACCAGAAATTTTTAACTCAAGTTAGGACTTAAACTATAGTTTAATGAACATTAGACATAGCAATTGTACAGTGTAAATAGACCCATTTCACTGAAATAGTGTTTTGCTAAGTTAAGAGTAAAAATATTTACTTTGTTACAAAACGCATACTGCTTCAATGTCGTCTTTCTATTCCATTGTTTTCCGGTTATTACTGTATGACATTTTTATCTTAAGGATTCACCTTTTTTCTTTAGCACAAATATGTAACAATTGCATCTGACTCTTAGTTAAGATTTTTTTATAAAACAATAAAGAGGTGCTCTGGTTTTTAAAATGAGAAGAAAGAAAAAATTCAAAAAATAAATAATCATTTAAACCATCCTGAATTAAATAGTTTTAAATAGTTTAAATAGTTTTATTTTTTTGAGTGAGAAATAAACATTTATAATCGTCGATTTGGGGGTATTTTTTACAATACCCTTGTGATGATGCATGTGAGATGGCATGCATATAGCTTACTATAAAATATAAAAAAGAGAAAGCAATAATAAAAGGTATTTCAGTTCAGGTAATTTATTTAATACTATATTTTTGTTGTATCATTCCTTGATGCTTTTATTTCATATCATGATTCATGAATTTCCCTGGGGGGGGGGGGCGCCCCCCATTCAGGAGCTCGAAGGGGGTTTGTTGGCCCAGGCCCCCCCCCCCTGTGATCAGCCCCTGTATATCAGCTGTGAATAATTTGGATATGTGTAGAATTAAAATATAATTATTTTTAAAATTTTTAAGTCGTTGTCATATTTCAATACAATGATGACGACATTCGATTTAAATTTGGATTTTTACCATCATGGAATCGTATGCTACCCCGTTTGAACTATTGTTCATTTGAACTACTGTTCGTTTGAACTACGTCATGCACGTGGTACCACGTAAGTAGTTAAAATGAACACTATAGCTCAAACTAGTTTATTCATTGCTCATTTAAATAGTTCACGTACATGGACATAAAAAAAAGTTCAAATGAACAAAAAAATAGTTCAAATGGACATAAAAATAGTTCAAATGGACAAAAAATAGTTCAAATGAACAAAAAAAAGTTGAAATGACCAAAAAATAGTTCAAACATGGACATGAAAATAGTTCAAATGGACAAAAAATAGTTCAAATGGACAACAAAAATAGTTCAAATTGACATAAAAATAGTTCAAATGAACAAAAAAAAATAGTTCAAATGCAGGACAAAAATATAGTTCAAATGGACTATAGTTCAAATGAACAAAAAATAGTTGATATATAAAGCTCTTCCAGGGGGGGGGGATGTTAAAAGATCAAGATTATTCAGAATTTAATTTTAAAAAGTAAGACATTTCTCTTTTTATGTAGTGAAATTAACATATATACCTAGTACATTGACAACAAGAAAATTTTAGAAATTAGAAATTAGAATATAAACAAAGACAATATTTTTTTCAAAGTTTTGCAGAGTAGCTTTTCTAAAGATTTAAAAAAGTTATACATCTTTTTCCTTTTAGAGGAAAACTATTTTTTTAAGTTAAACCCCCCCCCCCCCTTATTTACGCCCCTGGACAAATCTGAGTCCTAATACTAATTTAAATTTGAAAGGGAAACTACAGGATTCATTAGAATGAATTCACTGCAAAAACGTTTTAACTGAATATCCGGTTGGTATAAGGTTAGTTTTTTTATTGTTTGAGTATAATACACATTTTTCTTGCCCCCGCCCCTAATAATGTTAAGGGGGGAAGGATTTCCATCCTGCCCCCCCCCCAGGCGCGCAACTAGACATTTGGTTAGGGGGGGGCTAGGGAAAATTTTTTTGGCCCCCCCCTAAACATTTTTAGGGGGGGGGGCAAGAAAAATGTGTTATACTTAAACAATAAAACACTAACTTTACCAACCGGATATTCAGTAAGTCAACACATCTGATATGAAATAAAAAAGAAATCTATTCTGGTACCCAAAAAACCCAAAAAACCCCAAAAACATGGGAATTCAGTGACGAATTCGATAGCGTCTTTGTTATGAATTAGCATTGTAATCCTAATTTCAAAGGCCATAATATTATTATGTCTGCTAGAGTTTATTTTATGAAAAGGGTAAAACACTGCAAAGATGTGTTTATAATGTCTCCCCAAGATGAACAGTGAAGACGGACTCTCGACGGACAAGTTATATATACAAAATGTGAACATATCAGACGAAACTCTTACAGATTACAGCTTTCTTAGTAGGTATCACTATACTTAATCAAAGAATTATTTAAAAAGACGATATTGAATTCGTCACTGAATTCCCATGTTTATTGGGACCCTTGTATAAATCACAAAAATAAATAATTTACAATAATTTATATAAATTTTCATTAGTTATCCATAAATCAAATATGTATATTGTACTCAGAAACTGACAAGAAATGCCTTTCATTAAAAATTCATGATTTTACATGAAAAATATTTTTTTTTAATATGACACATCACACAATATTTGCAGTGAACATGTAGGATTAGTTTATTAGTTGTACTACAGTATTAAAGCAATATCATAATAAGTGGCAGAACTGATAGTGAAAATATCTAAAAAATACTTAATAAACCCCCTTTCCCTTTCCCAGGAAAAAACAGCATAGTGAAAAAAAACAAAGAATACAAACATGTCTACGGCCATGTACCCCGTGGAAAATCTCCGACCCCTGTAGAATGGTCTCCGAACACTGGAAAGTCTCCGAACCCTGTGGAGGAGGTTTTTTGAAAAAAACGTCATTAAATATTAAATTACTTGTTCACTAGCAATAATTATCCAACTTTCTCGACATATGGACTAAATATAATAATCAAGTTAAAGAACCAATTTCATTATTGCTTTGATCTTCTTTTTCTTCAAATTTTGTTTTCACGTAAAAGGGGTGAATCTCAAGTCTGAATTTCATTGACACTATACTCATAGAATTATCTTTGGTTTCTTTTATTGTCTGTTTTAAATTAAAGGGATTTGCTGATAATAGAAAATTAAGTTTTAATAAACATAATTTACTCAGGCATATATGAATTGACCAGTAAAGTCAATAGTTTCCATTGTGATATGCAGGCTTAATTTTGTACGAGAAGGGGGAAGCGGAAGGTAAAGGGGGGAAAGGGAAGGAAAGGTGAAGGAAAGGGAAAGGAGATTGGAAAGGGGATAGGTAAGGAAACGTGGGAAAGGGAAAGGGAATGGGAAAGGGGATAGAG